AAGCCCTAGCACTGCTCTCCCGCTGCTCTCTTGTATTTCTTTGTTCTTTCTCTCTTTTATGCTTCATTTCACGAACTTATGACAATAAAAATATGACCATGTGCCACGGCAGACACATAATACACCACGATGCATGACACAAAGAGCATCTCCCAGGTATGTTACTACACATGCGACAGCTTATCCACAAGCCATAGTGCGTGGCATAGAACCTTCCCTTTAGAATTTCTTCCTCTTTTCATTTTCGAGTGACCCGATTTTTCTTCAGACTCGTGTTTAGGATTGAAATTGAAACCAAACATGCTTGTTAGGCCTCTCTGGCCATACACCTTGCTAATACACTTAATTAATCTAATTGAGCTTAATTAATCCGATTAAAAATTGAGGATGTTATAGTTGTTTGTATTGTAGGCCATAGTTGTGTTTATCACACATGTTTATATGTGTATTATTTGCTAATTGCATTCATTTTTGATTGATATACAACTGTATAGATTAGGTGAAACTTGATTATTGAGTGGTTGTACCCACCCTTCAATTCTTAATATTTTTAGGGCCTAGGTTATCGAATTCGATAGGAAAAGCATACTGAGTAGGATTTTGGTGAAAATCTTATTTTTATGCCTCTCTACTTTATTTATATATATTTATGTTGTTAAATTGTTAACTAGGTCATATACCATTAATTATGAGTTATTTGCACTGTATTTATGCACACTTGTGTATTTTATGCTCTAGGTTAGTGAGTGGAGGTTCTAAACCTTATATAGGATTAAAATACTTGTGTAAGTAATATTATGTATATTTTGGGTTGATTTGAAATGAAAATGGTTGTTTTGTGTAAAGATTTCCCCCTTTATGTTTTATGAATTATGGAATTGAGTGGTAAATTTATGTTATATGAGCTTTTGGTTGAATGTGGTGCATTGCACAAGTCCCCTAGAGTCTAATAAGTATGGTTGAGTGGTTGATGTACGCTTTTGCACTTGTATGTGAGTTTAGACACTCTTGTGGTGAATTTTTATGAAAAAGTAGTGAATATAGGTTTGGGTGTCCAACTCTTTATAAAAAATAAATTTGAGTATGAAACTTATGTCATTAGCTAGATTTAGAAGAAAGCTCTATGCAGACATTAAAATCACCTCAATCGGACGTCGGACGGATATTTAAAACGCGTCAAAAGTTTGCTCCCAGTGCTATCATGTGATAGTAATTGTTTGCTATCATATTTCATGTAATGTGCCACAGTGCATGGTGCCTCACGCTGCAATGCATGGCACAGAGGTAAGGGACGTCGTGACACATGTCCCATTTTCTGCACAAACTACATATTTGAGTTTTAAATCTAACATTTTAGGTCCTAATCAATTTTCAAACTTCTGTGTTGTTTTAAAACTCTAATTTAAGTATAATGAGTGTTTAGAAGAGATTTAAATGCTAAATCTAGAGATCCCATTGTAAAGGTTTTGAAAATTGTTTCTTCCACTGGAATTTTAGAAAACTTGTTTTTCCCATTTATGAATTCCTTAGCACATGAAACTGTTTAACTAATACCTTTCAAATCCACATAATCCATTTTATATAGTCATTTGTGTTTTAGGCTATCCAAGTGACCAATACATTCCCTTTTTCCATTTATTTATTAATTTTCCCATTTTTAACCAAATAAGTTAGGTTAATTATGCCTATGCTCATAAGGTTCAACCGTCAAACTTCACACCAGTTGCAAAACCTTAGTTTCACACCCAAGAACCCTTTTTAAACATTTTCCTTAAATTTTAAATCCTTAAAACTTTTTGATCCAATTTTTCTACTAATCAAACTTAAAGAAATTAAGTCACTAGCCAATAAGTCACTGGTTGAAGCAAACTCCCAAACCTTGGATATTTGATGCCCTAGTAGAGAAATCTTCTTCTTACCCTTCAGATGCATTTTTCTTACTTTACCTTCTAATTTTCATGAGCTGAAAACGTCAGCTTTCAGCAAAATCTATACCATACACTGTGGCACATGCAATAAATGACGTCATGCATGGCATAATGAACCAAATCTCACTAATGCTTGAGCATTAATTCCCGAATGGCCGTTCTACCATTCAATCTATTAACATTCTAGCCAATTAACACAAAACATCAATCCATCATCTAAAATCATAATCAATCCACTAATTATTAATTTACGCATAATCAGCAACTAGTCTCCTGAATTGAAATTCAGGACGTTACAATAATGAAATCATGTGAATATTTAGAATTTTATAATGAACCTCTAAAAATTTATGTTTCAAGTATTAATAATATCTTGAGTTTGTCATCTCTTTTATCTATTCATGTTTGTAACTTCAATCATTACCTAATGATTGGCATATCAACTTATGGTATTTGATTAATGGTGATGTGCTTTATATTGTGATTTTGTCTTTAATATGTTTTCTTTGTTATTTGTATAATAAAAGGAAAACTTGTTACAACATTAAATCACCCCTTGTCAGTTGTCATAAGGAATCTAGGTTTCTCATAAGATAATTGTAAATTATAATGGCTTGTTTAATATTCTTTTAAATTGTTAGTTGTAATTTTGTGGGTGTTGTGTATTAATGCTTGAATGACTCTCTTGTGATGGCCATTAATTTTTATTTCAGATATAATATTTTAGATGCACTAAAGCATAATGTTTTGCCTGAAGATGAGAAAAAAAAAAGTTCATGTCAAGAAGCTCTTACATATTTATCATAATTTAAGTGAGCTATAAAGAAATACTAACCAAGAGATTCTCCTGGAAGACTGAATGAAAATGTAATTGTATTTTGAATTATACTTATAGCCATCTCCCTTATTTATTTATTTATTTTTTTGCATAGAGTAGGATGTATTTTAACATAGGCTCAATGTTATTATTATCCCTTATGGTATATTTTTTGATATGAGGTGTCTTATGATATTTGTTTATCATATTGATTATATTTGACAAAAAAATAGATCAAACCTAATGGAATTACTGTTGTTTCATTGAAATTTTTATTGTTCGTTCTTCCTCATCACATTTACTTGTTTTTCAAGGATAATTTAGTTGCTCTCCATGTTACATTGTTGAATTTGCATTATTTACACGTTACTATGGCTTGCTATATAATGTATAATACTTAAATAAGAGGGAATTTATTGTGAGCATTCCCTTATTTATTTTTTGTATAAGGTAGGATATAGGTTAACATGGACATGGTATTTTTCTTACTCCCCGTGATATATTTTTTGATTTGGGGTGTTAAAATTAAAGGGTGCAAGGATTTTGGCTTAGGGTGTAAGGGTTTTGGCTTAGATGTAAGACTTTTGGTCTAAGGTGCACGTGTTATGATTTACATGCAAAGGCTATCATTGGCTTAGGTACAAGGGATCTAATTTAGGGTGTAAAGCTTCTGGCTTAGTCATTTCCATGTAATTCATAATCATTTTCATGTAATTCAAGGGCATTGACAATGGTGCACCCTTTGCGTGTTTGATTTACAAGTAATCCGCTAGATATTACATGTAAATTATTCCTCAGGTATGCTTGTGAATTTCTTCACATATTGATTTACATGTAATCTGTAGTCATTTTCATGTAATTTAAAGGCACTAATAGAGGTGTGCTCTCTGTGTATTTGATTTACTTGTAAATCTGCTATAGATTACATGTAAATCACTCCTTAGTCATGCTCGCAAGTTTCTTCATATATTGATTTACATGTATTCCATAACCATTTTCATATAATACAGGGGCATTGATAAGGGCGTGCTCTCTGTGTGTTTGATTTATATGTAATCTGTTAGAGATTACATGTATATCATTTCTCAGTCATGCTTGCGAATTTCTTCGCACATTGATTTAAATGTAATCTATAGTCATTTTCATGTTATTTTGCGGATTGACACAGGCGTGTTCTTTGTGTGATTGATTTATATGTAATCTACTAGAGATTACTTGTAAATTATTTCTCAAACATGCTCTCGAATTTTTTTCCATATTGATTTACATGTAATTAGTTGTCATTTTCATATAATTACAGATGCATTGACAGTAGGTGCTCTTTGTGTATTTGATTTACATGTGATTCACAAGATATCACATGTAATTGTCAAAGTTAGAAGCCTTATACCTAAGCCGAAACACATGTACCCCAAGCCAGAAGCCTTGCACCTCAAGCCATATCCGTTACGCCCAAGCCATAAGCCTTGCACTCTAAGTCAAATCCCTTGCACCTAAGTTAGAAGCCTTACATCTTAAGCCAGCTCTCTTGTGTCCTAAGCTAGATCCCTTGTACCTAAGCCAGAAGCTTTGCATCCAAGTCAAAAGCCTTGCACCCTTTGATTGTTGAGTTAGAATGTAATTCTTGATTATTACATATAATTAAGGGGTGTTGAGTTTTCTAGTGATACTTTCTGACGACCCTTCACCTATCAGTCAAAATTTCGACAAGCGCACCGTCAACTATTGGAGGAGTGGCTAGAGCTTCGATCGGAGCTGGCAACTAAATGTTATACCTTTTCCTTAATTTGTTTTAATTAACATAGAGGGGTATTTTGGTCATTTGATCAAATTTTTTTATGAATAAAATAATAGACTTAGTCCTTCAATCTACTTTGATCCTTGGGCACAATTTTAATTTCAACTATGTCTTTTTTATTAGTTTTCCTTAAATCTTATGATTGTGTAAATAACTTATCTTTTGTGGTTTATTATGAATGTGAAAATATGAGATTGTCTTCATGTCTATCCATAGATAAATTTGTTTGGATAATTTATAAATTTGAGATGAGAATGGCATTTTTAGTGAGTTTATGTTTATAATTAAATCATCACAATCACAAATTTATAATTAAAATTTCATAACTAACAATTAGACTGGTTTAATGTTAGGGCATTATAATCTTTGCACAGTGATAGTTTCATGACAAATTATAATCAGGTTTCAAGAAACTTCGATTATATTTTTACAGAAGTGTGAGACGTGTTATAAAAAAGTGCCTCATTCAAGAGTTATGCTTATTCTTCCCATATTGTCATTTGATAAGATGGACTCCTCCTGAAATTTGCAGGCCGATCGAGGAAACAGTGCCTCAACTGGAGAAAAGGAGTTCAAGGTAGCCAAATAGAGTAGATACAGACAAGAGACATCCATCCCCGGAGGAATAGAAAAGCAAATCCCTTCAATAATCGAGATGGCTCCTCCTAAAGTCCTCATGGTTACTAGTCCAAGTTTTGAGTGTTTTTGGTATATTTGTCATGAATGGCTTTGTGAGTTTCGGTGCTTATTAGCTTTCGTGGCTTACAGGTCGCAGAGAAGCCTAGCATTGCTCTTTCTATTGCCTCTGTTCTCTCCCGCGGTCAGGTACTCTGGCACGTGCTATTCTTCTTCTTGCCTGCTCGCAATATCGAAACCTCGAGCTTAAGTTTAGTCTATTACGACAATAATACGAAAAAAGAGGGAGTGCATGTGTCTGAAGGCTCTGAGCACAAGAAAACTGGGGATGCGAGTCTAGTTAATGGGAGCTTTATTTTTGTTGTATTTAACTTTAGCATATGAGTTTTCTTCTTCAAGAAAAATTGGGGCCCGGGAGGATGTGGTTGTGGGAAAGAAAGGCTCTACATTAATTTTACTTCCGTTCCTTTTTAGCATCGTATTTATATTTGTCATATTTATGATACATTGAAACTTAGTAATTAGTAGTAGTAGTAACAATTCTTTAATTTCTAGTTCACTTTCTTCTGGAACTTGATTCAGTTTTAATGTATTAATTAGAAGGATTTATAGCTTGGTAGACTACGAAACAAGAAATCTTTTATAAAAATGTTATTTGTTAAAGCTTCCACTAGTTTGCGAAATAAAGTTTATTCATCGGTCGCTAACTTTTGCCTTCGTTATGTTTGAACCAGTTCGTACCATTGTGCGCTTTTGTGCTGTTATGTTTGTAACAGTCAATGGGCTCCGTTTCTTGTCTTAGAATGTCCTTTTTCTTGGCACATTATTATTGAAAGAGTCATTGATTTTTGAAGAACATTTGGGTGTTTGCAGATGTCTACAAGAAAAGGAAGCACAGACGTTCATGAATTTGAGGGGACATTTCTTGGATCCCGTTCACACTTTAAAGTAACATCAGTCATTGGGCATATATTTAGGTCCTTTTCTGATCAACTGTGGAAAATAAATACTTAATATTGGGACTGTTATAAATTGTGTATTATATATTGGTACTCACTTCATAATTCATTCCCCACTCAACAAGAATAAAATTGCGTATATATTTTCCAATTCATGGCAGAATCTCCTCTCTGAACTTCAGAATAAATTTCTGGTACTGGATACTTTATGGCATTATGCTAGGGCATTTTGATCTTGTACTCCTCCACAAATATCAAATAGTGAACTTTCCAAAGGTTGCTAACCGAGCTTAACTTTTCATGGAGAAAAATTTGTAAAATTATGTTGGAGAGTCATGTTATATTTATTGAACTATGATTCCAAATCTGATATAAATGATGATCAAGGTTCTTATGGAGTTGATTATGCTTGCATATATAGGTGTCATCTTGTCTTATGTGAATTCCATCTGTTACCGAATTTTAGTCTTGATCACCTTGCTGGAATTAGGCTGTAGAGATTGAGAGGCAGAAAATAAATAAATCTATGAGTTGTATTGATGTTCCTTCTTTTCCGGAAACATACAACTTGTTACTAATCTTTTTCACAAGGAAGAAAACTATTTCTACTCGCATCTTTTTTATTTTTTTATGTGAGTTACTGGTCCTTTTAATAATTAGATCATAGATTTCGAGGGCTGATTGTGAGTTACTGGTCCTTTTAATAATTAGATCATAGATTTCGAGGGCTGACTGTGTGAGAGAGATAATGCTTTACCTGTATTACCATCACTTTCATTGGTATTCAGCACACTGGATTAAATGTTAATGGAATTGTAGAAACTAGAAACTTGGAATGAAAAGAAGTTACAGTCTTGAGGTGTGGAAGCAGGCATGAGAATGAAATTTTGTCATGCGATTCTGTTCTATCTGGTAAAGAAAGAAAAGGAAAAAAAAGAAAAAGATAGTGCATCCTGTGATATTTAAGTAGCTCGTGTTGTTTAGTATGAATATCTATCTATGTTATATGGTACAACTTCATTGTCTTTGGAAGTGCAGCTACTGGCAAGTAATAGCATCCCTGCTTTTCTACTCATTTTTGTTTATGATGTTGACCATTCTACTCTTTGCATATTGCTCAAGCCCAAGCTTTCGTTGATTCAATATTGAACGAAGTCTTTCTGTCTCTCTTGCCAATTTAGTGTAGATTTTCCCGCTAAATATCAGGATTGGGCAGCTACAGATCCATCAGATCTTTTTCAAGCTCCAGTTATAAAGAATGAAACAAACCCAAAGGTAATTCTTACACTTATACAGTTCAAATTTTATCTCACTTATATGTTCTCATAATTTATTCTGTTCTGTTATTTGGAGAAAAATAAGTTTCTTTTCTTTTGTCCTTGATACCCAAAGCGAGAGCCAACTTGATCAGGCTTTATAACCGTTTGTCCTGTGTCATGTCCAAAAATCATAATATCTTAAAACTTAAGCTGTTAGCAAGGTGCCTTTTTTGCCTCCCTTGGCCATTTCATTAGTAAGGGTTTAAGTCTTTTTTTCTTTTAAATAACTTCCAAGTTGTTACAGCTTCGTTTTGGAAATTTAAAACTCCTTATCAGGCTAACTTTTGTTTGGAATGTGATACTTGATAAAGTATTTGTTAGACTTACAGGTGTATAGACGTCACAAGGGCCTTTTCCCCTGACTTTGTTATGCTCTGAAATGGAAAGTCATCTCCTTCCTACATGGTTTTGAGTTTTTTTGGGGAAAATGGAGAATAAGGTGCTTTGGAATTACAATCTTTATGTGGTGTTTGATGCTTTTTGATGAAGAGAAGTACTAGGATTTTAACTCTAGTTTTTAACTTCACCTCTGTTGGATAGCCAGCCAGAATTGTTTTTATAGCTTTCTGCTTTTCCTTCTTTTAATCTTTGTCATCTATTAGTTCCACCAAATGCTTAAGGTGTGTCATCTGCATTTGATCTTGTTTATGTACCTTCATTTGTTATTAATACCAGAATGCTCTTTCCTTTTAGGCACATATATGTAGACATCTGAATCAAGAAGCTCGTGGCTGTCATTATTTGGTATTGTGGTTAGACTGTGATCGTGAAGGAGAAAATATATGTTTTGAAGGTAATTGTAAATTTATCTGTATTGACATATTGTCATTATTATTCTTTATTGCCTTCGTTTCTTGATATTTTAGTAGGTCTAATGCATATGAGCCTTGTCACTGCAATGTAAAAATATTATTTTGGTAGCATGAGTTTAAAAGTAGGAGAATGCTGCCTTTATTTATCATTAACTGCTTTTCTTTGGTCTTTTGTTCTTTATCCTTCAAATACCGTCACCCCTTGCTTTCATTAATTTGAAACCAAATCCTAGATTTCTTGCTATTTATTTCATGGGAGAGAAATGGAATTTAATTCAGTCATGATCAATATCTGTTGAAAATAAATGTTTTTTTTTCCCAGAACCTTGCCTTCTCTACTTTGACCTAAACTACTGAATGTGATCAACAGAAAATGTTTGAGATTCTTTGAGCAAACCTTGAATTAAGGTTATTCTAAATGTAATTAGCTGCTGATCAACCTAAAAGTGCTGATGCCTTATGTAGTAATGTATGCATGCATACACAGGGAACATAAAGATATATCATGTGTCATGATGTGCACGGTTTATGTAGCTACAGGTTGTCTTCCTATATTTACAGTTTCCCTTCTCCATGCTTAGTGAATGGCGGAATTGACTTAACCTTACACTAGTATATTGAATGAATATATTCTTCTCTGAACTAACCTCATGCTTATCTGTTTTATTTGACGTTCTTTACATATTGAATCATGTTAGGAATTTCAAAATTTGAAGCATTTGAATATTGTTTTTTCCCCAGTTATAGAATCGACTAGCTTCAATGTAAATGACACTCGGAAGAGGATTTTTCGTGCACGCTTTTCTTCTGTTACTGAGAAGGATATCCTGAAAGCTCTGGATAAACTTGTGGAACCGAATAGAGATGAGGCACTGGCTGTGGATGCTAGGCAGGAAATTGATTTAAAAGTTGGAGTTGCCTTTACTCGATTTCAGACAAGTTATTTTCATGGAAAATATGGGAACCTAGATGCCAAAGTTATATCGTTGGTTTCCTGCTCACTTCTCTTTTTGAATTGTGACTTATCTTCTATATGCTGTTGTTCTTTTTTCTCCCATCATTTCTTTTAATTCATAAATAATGGTAGTATTATGTCTCTCCCAATCCTAACAGTAGTCTCATCTTCCTGTTAAGAACTGTCTAGATGCAGAATTATGCAACTTCACGTATACCAAATTATAATTTTCTTATCATTGAAGCAATAATGGTCTAATTGAACAGAACCTTATGGTTATTCCTTTCTTTGGTGCTTCAACATAAACCATACTTCAAGCTAAATGTTGAAGTTGGTGTAACATGAGTGCAATGAGGGTTTGCTTCTTCTAGGTTTGAAATGGACTGAAAACTGGATAGCTGAAATAATTTCAGGCTATTCTCAGTATCAGTGAACTGCCAATTGCACGAAAGGCAATTGGTCGAGTATATTCATTGGGTTTTGTTGGCTCATAACAATAAGCCATAACAACATAGTTGTTATATTTAATTATTTATATCAGCGTTTCCCCTTCATTGTGCTTTGTTCTTTAGTTCATGTCCAACTATGTGTTTGGGCACCTGGAAGGGGGTAGTTTTTCTGCCTTTTTAGGCTATGAATGCATTGCAAATTGGTGACAAAAGCCACAAATTTTCTATTTTTTAATTAAACTCTATTCAGTGGCATTCATAATGTTACTCTATGAATGCGATCTCTTAATTAATAATATTCCTAAAAGCTTGATAAATGATAGAGCACAGTAGCGTCTTGCGATCCATGTAGCCAACCCCACCTAGTGGGATAAAGGCTTGTTGTTGTTGTTGTTGTTGTTCTATTCAGTGGCATTCTCGTGTTAATATTTCAACTCAAAGTTAAGCATCACTAGACTGATTGATTCTGTCAATTGTTCGCTTATTTCAGCTATGGGCCATGTCAAACTCCTACCTTAGGCTTCTGTGTGCAGAGGTATTTGCAAATAAATACCTTCAAGCCTGAAAAGTTTTGGACTCTGCATCCGTACATAATACACAATGGCTATGAAATTAAGCTAGAATGGAATCGGGGCAGATTATTTGACATGGATGTAAAATTTCTATTCTTTTGTTGTACTGTTTTTTTCAATCTTGGAAGGCATCCTTTTAATACTTAAATATCTTTGCAGGTTGTTGTCATGTTTCAAAAGCTAGTAACTGAAGATGGACTTTTGGAAGTTACTGATGTATCTGAAGAACAGAAATGCAAGAGCCGCCCTGTTGGTCTGAATACAGTCAATCTTCTAAAGGTTAGAGAAAAGGGCAAAATACTGAGAAGTTCCACACAAGGATTTTAATTACCCTAAAGTCCCATGAAGTGTACAAATCGTTGCCCCTATGCAATGACAACTTGGCAAATGAGAATGACAATGATTTTGTGCATTTCATGGGACCTCTTGGTAATTAAAATCCTTACAAGGGACCTTGGAGTGATTTTCCCTAGCAAAAAAGTGGGGGATCATTGCTTCCTTGCCAACTAGTATTTGATATACAATTTGTGTCAACTGATTGAGGAATGGAGAATTTTCTGATTATGGACTGGCGGAATACCTCATTTCATTGCAAAAGTGACCTGAAATTAACATTTTTAAATAATTATGGAAGTCGGTATTTCATCCTGGCACTAAATGGAAGTAAAGATGAATTAGTTTGATATTTGACTTTGATATTGTCAATTTATTGCGATGCAAGTCTAATTCCCTCCACGGCTAAATTTCTGCCCCAAGTACCTGACTAAGGGTGAATGAAACAGTAAGATTTCGTTACCATGCCTTTTGGAATAGAAAGTTTACTTAATGGTAAGGGCTCATAATGCTGGATGCATTTCTTTCATGACATTTGTCCTTGGCAAGGGAACAGGTATTTGACTATTCAAGGTTTTGTCGTTAGCATAGAAGGAATAATACCCAGATATTCTTCTTGGGATAGTGAGAAGCATTGACCTTCTTGTCAGCAATATTTTCTTTTCTTCAATAAAAAAGCTGATACCGTTTGCTTCATAGAGGGGGTAGTTTTTTCCCTTTTTCGGGGGGGGGGGGGTTACTTGAGTGACGTTGTGGTGGGCACTCGAGTGAGATGGGAAACTCTTCTCTAAAAGCTAGTTATTGAGATGGGAGAATTAACCTACTTATATACCCCATAGAATATCCTATACTACTCGATATGAAACTTAGGTTTCCCAAATTAATCAAGTCTCCGTCAGTTGGCCCCCCTTGAAAATGAATGTTCTGGCAGCTGCACTCTGCATTTCTTCACTTAGGAGTTGCTTAATTCAATTAATTATATTTAATAGGAAGTGACTTCCTAGAAGTATACTTCTTGGAAAGTTAACTTCTCAGGAAGCTTCCTGAGAAGTTAACTTCCCAATAAGTTAATGTATATTTGTATGTATGACATGAAGAAAGCCAGGTTCCCTTGGACGTGGGAAGGATGCGAAGTGTCATCCAAAAATATGTGTAATAAAAACTAAAACAAATGTTTGACATTAAGTTCAAGCAGATTGTTGATCTGGTAGAACGTAGTGCATAATGGTGAGTGTGATGAAAGTTAATTTTCTTTCCCCCATCTGAAAGATTTGGCATTCCAAATATAACAGGATGTTATTTTTTCTTCTGCTTGGGTCATTAAGGTAGTTCAAAGTTATGCATGTGAAGATTGAAACTTTACTTTCAAGGCTAAGTTTGTTGAATAAGTGTTATTTTTATTTGTACCCTCATTTGTTTGATAAACGTAAATTGTAGCTTGAGTGCCATGTTTACTCTATCCAGGTTGCTTCAAGTGCTTTAGGATTTGGACCTCAGATGGCCATGCAACTAGCTGAGCGCTTGTATACTCAAGGTTTCATCAGGTTTTTCATAATTTGTTTAGTATTTTATATTGTGATGTTGTTGTTACGCCTTATGTAGATGTTGACCATTTGATTGGTTTCTGCATGCTGCTTCTCAAGCTATCCGCGCACAGAAAGCACTGCATACCCACCTTCATTTGACTTTCAGGGTGTACTCTCTTCACAAGCAAATAATCCAATATGGGGTCATTATGTACAGGGGCTACTCACTAATGGTTATCACAAACCTCGATTAGGAACAGATGTAGGTGATCACCCTCCTATCACCCCAATGCGGTCAACTTCTGAGGATGTGGTAGGCAGTGACGCTTGGAAGTTATACCAATATGTCTGTCAACACTTCATGGGGACAGTGTCCCCAGATTGCAAGTATACAAGGTAAAAGCTCTTCTCTTTCACCCTTTCTCCTATTATGATTGTGATTCATGACTTCATTCAACAAATGTCCCTTTTTATTTTCTTCAATTTTTAGGCAGCGTTTGAATTAATGGATTTAGATTTGGATTTTAAATTTGAAATCTTGGATTTCAAAGATCACATTTGAAATCTGTGTGTTTGAAATCCTTTGTTTGGATAGGTTAAAAATTTTCAAATGAAGAAGAGAGATGAGTTGAGATTTGAAATGAAGATGAAAAATTGGAAGTGCCGAGTTTATTTCTATTTTTTAATCGACAAGAGATGAGAAAAGATGTGAGTCTTACAGATATTAATAATGAAAACGCAAGGAGAACAAAATATTTGTAGTTATTAGAATTTTAAATGACTAGGGTATAGAGGGAATTTGAAATTACAAAGAAATTATAATTTAGAATAGATTTGGATTTGAACCCAAATTGATAATTTTTTTTTTTTTTTTTGCATGTCCAAATGAGAGATTTGGTTCAGATCCAAATCCAAATTCTCATTAATCCAAGCACACCATTAATGTGAATCATCTCTGATTTGATTAAAATAAGCTGGTAGTAATCTTGCCTAGTCAGTGTATTTATTATATTTCAAAAAAATGTTGGAATTTAATGGACCAAAGCTCTTTGTCCGGGAAAAAAAAAAGACCAAAGCTCAGCATAATGTACTCAACTAATTGATATGCAACTAATTGAAGTAATGAACGATCAAGGCACAGTTGTATTAACTATTATTAAGTGTAGAAAGGTGCATACTTCAGGTCCAACTCAAGGTGTGCAAACTACAAAATAGGGCCATAAATCTAGACTTGTAATCATTAGAATTTTCAATAGTTAAGGTCAAGTTATTGTTAGTAATATTGAGATTTCTGGGTGATGAGGGATGATTTAATGTCCTAAAGGTGATAATGGCTAATTTAATTTGAAGGAACCTGTTGTTGAAGACAGAGGTAGAAGAGAGATATAGAAGAGAAGAATAGGTGGGTAGTAGATTGAAAGAGAGTAGAGAAGAGAAAATGCAAAGCCGTGCCAATTTCATTAACCAAAAGGCTGCCCTTGCCCTATATACACAAAAACGGGCAATGATCACTAACCAACCGACTAATTAGTGGTGCATGCATCTGTTTTTGGCGGCAATTTTTCTCTTCTATTAGATTGACAGCTTTCAATTCTGATGGTGGGATCTGTTTCACAGTTTAGAACCTTTAGGTACTAGAGATCAGAAAAATGATGCTCATTGAAGCATGAGGATTTTCCTAGCAAGAAATTAGGTTTTGGGAAAAGTAGATAACAACAATAATGACACTGGTCAGTGGCAAAAGTTGTGAAACTTCACTTGTGAGGCTAACAATGGTTGCTTAGGTGAATTGAATTCTACTTCAATACCAATGGACTTCAAGCAATATCCCAAATCAACAGGTAATGCTTTTTGACACACCTAATAATCTATTCAGACCAAACGATAAAGGGTTAAACCCCTAAGATATATAATGAACGTTTTCTAGGCAACCCATACCCCAATTCTACTAGGACAAGCATTCTTAAAACTTGAGAGATCCTAATTCAAATTCAGAAATAACATGCCTTTTTTGCCATTCATTCCAGGAGAAAGGTAGAATTTTCAGTTGGCGGAGAGTCCTTTCATTGCACAGGGATGCATGTTACTGTCAAAGGATTTACGGCTATTATGCCTTGGTTAGCGGTAAATGATAAAAATATTCCATCCTTCACGAAAGGGCAGAAAATTGGTGTGTCAAAAATGGAGCTATATGAGGTAACTGGAATTTCCCTACCCAAATTCAGCATCAATGCGGAGTTTATGATTGTAATTTTGGATTCTTTCTGTCCTACCTAGTCTTTTCTTTCCTTTCTAGGAAGTTTTTTTTTTTTTTTTGGTTGGATGAAGGGGTTCTGTTCTGGGGTTATGTACGGAGCATGGGTGCTTCTAATCTAAGTTCAAGTTTTACTTGTATGTATACTTTGATGGGTACTTCAAAATGAGTATGGTGTAATTTTTTTTAAAGAAAAGATTGCTTTCGTTACATGCTAGAATTAGATAAATTGCAAATGTGCTTACAAACTATTAAATCTTAAAAGTTTTGAAATTAAATGTTGAAAAAGTTTAATCATTTGGTCCTTATATTTTTTAAAAATTGCTGCATCATGCACCTTTTCTTGCATCCATACCATTACCTCTACTTTGCAATGTTAGGGGGTTGTATCTTTGGATTAAATTGGGATAAAAGCTCAGTGATGAGATCTTATTGTGAATATACTTAAAAGAGAAAAGGGGGTAATTACGAAAATCATGCTACATTTGACAGCCTCTTATTTTGAACATTTATCTGACATCTGAAATGATAAATTTTACAGGGGACCACCACACCACCTGATTATCTAAGTGAAAGTGAGCTGATTTCCCTTATGGAGAAGAATGGGATTGGAACAGATGCATCAATTCCCGTACATATCAACAACATCTGTGAACGGAATTATGTGCAGGTTGTGGATATAGAGATGTCTACGTAGAATGTTCTTTAATGTATAATGTAGTGATTATTCACTTGAATTCCAAAATCGCAGGTACAAGCAGGCAGGAAGCTTGTCCCAACTCCGTTAGGTGTGAGTTTAATAAGAGGTTATCAGTCAATTGATGCAGACCTCTGCCTACCTGATATCCGTAGCTTCATTGAGCAGCAAATTACTCTAATTGCTAGGGGTCAGATAGATCATTCTCGTGTTGTGCAGCATGTACTGCAACAATTCAAGCAGAAGTTTAGTTACTTTGTTAAGAAGGTTGGGTGACCTAACTAACTATTGATTTGATGGTCGCCTTATGGTTCAATATGAGTTTTTTAAAATAAAAAAAATCAGAAAAATATATTTTCTTTTCCTAATTTTCTTTTGACTTGATAACTTAAACCAAAGTCCGTTTGTTTCTGTTAATTCTTCCTCTTCCCCTGACTCGAATGTTTGATCAAGTATTCAAAATTTTTGTGATATTTATCTTTTCATATGATTCTTCAATTTTCACATAGCGGACCTTTATTGGACTGTGGTCACATGTTTCCCATGTGCTTCACAGTTCTAGTCCATTTTATTTTAGGTCGTCTCAAAATTTGGTCCAGCATAACATTTGCCAGTAAGTTGCAGAGTTCATGGATGGAGAGTTGCATTGTTCTAATTATATTCATTTCCCTTCTATCTGGATCAGATTGAAAACATGGATGCATTATTTGAAGCACAATTCTCTGCACTTACTGATTCAGGGCGTACTCTTAGTAAATGTGGTAAATGCTTGCGATATATGAAGTACATTTCTTCTCAGCCACCACGATTGTATTGTAATACATGTGAGGAGGTTTATCATCTTCCACAGAAGGGAACAATTAAGGTAATGTATTGTTCTGGCCGAAAAAGACAGCATATTACCTATCAAATTACATGGACTCAAATCTATCTTCAAGTTAGTGAACTGCCCCCTTAATCTTTTTATATGTAGTGTGCACTTGTTCTCAGCTTTTGATATATTATTAGAGTGATTATATTTATATCCATTCTTCTTTTCCATCTAATTCCCGTCCTCTGACCCGTAAAACAAACTTATTTTTCTCTATACACGTTGCTGCCCCTCTGTTTTTAGAAACCGCTTCTCCACTAAAAATCACTGCATTTGTGAACTGTTAGATTGAATTTGATGGTTCATATTTGATAGTTCATTTTGGAAAGTACAAATTAATCTATTCCTTGATTAAAATTTGATTTAAATGGTTCAAAACTGCAACGGAGATGCAATACAGCAAAATGCACTGACATAGTAGAAACAGAGATCCTTTTCCCACATCATTTGACATGTTTTCTGTAAGAGATTGAAAGTAATTCTTGGCGTGAATGATTGTATCCACCTCTCCGTGCTTCACTATTTTCATTTTTTTTTGAGGTTGCATTTTTTGCTTTGTTTTGTTGTCTGATATCTGTTTAACTGTATGTTGAATTAACTGAAGATTTAGCGAAGCAATTAATATTCTTCCACAGCTGTACAAGGAGCTGGCTTGTCCTTTGGACAATTTCGAGCTTTTGATCTGCTCCATGCCTGGCCCAGAGGGCAAATCATTCCCACTCTGCCCGTACTGCTACAGCAATCCTCCATTTGAGGGCATTGAAACACTCGTCAATATGGCTAAAATCGGTGCTTCTGGCAAGCTAGGGAAGGGAGCTGGCATGCCATGCATCCTCTGCCCCCATCCCACCTGCCCAAACTCTCTGGTTTCACAACGGGTCTGTGCTTGCCCCGAGTGTAGTGGGACACTTGTCTTGGACCCAGTAAGCGCTCCCAATTGGCGACTCTATTGCAATATGTGCAATTGCCTTGTTCTTCTTCCTCAAGGTGCTCACAGAATCTCCACAACTCGGGAACAATGCCCTGAATGTGACTCCACAATCATAGAAGTGGACTTCAACAAGAAAACAACTCCTCTGGAAGACGGAGCTACGTTGCACCGTGGTTGTGTTCTTTGTGATGAGTTGCTTCATTCCCTTGTGGAGATGAAACATGGGAGGAGTTTCAGTTCGAGAGGGAGAGGGAGAGGTAGGGGGAGGGGAAGGGGAAGGGGAAGGGGAGGTCGTGGCAGAGGAAAAATGATTGACCCAAAAATGAGCTTCCGAGACTTCTAAGGACAACATTTCATGTCTGTGTTCATTCCAACAAGTCCATTATTATGTAGCATGAGTGCTATTATTATGTAGCATGAGTTCGCACTTCTGTGTTAATGATCCTTTGCTTCATCTATTTGGACTTGTAATTTGGTTCTTTCAACCTGTTCTCTATTCTTGTTTTCACTCAATTTTCGCTGTTATCCCCTCCACGAGATGCACAGTTGTGGTCGAACGTGCATAGATTTTCACTCAATTTTGTGACTTTGTCCTCGTCGAACTTAATTTCTTTTGGTAAAACGTTGGTGTGGTCTTATTGACAAAAAAGTTGTAATTCTCGTGTTCGGTATCAAATTGTATGTATCGAGATTATTTCTATGATTCTCGTGTTCGTCCCTCGACGAAGTCATACAGATTGAGAACATTTAGAATGAAAGATGGGGGGAATGCCGAGCATATTAGCTGGAGCTTGAGGTCGACGACGAATCAGAGGAAGAAGAAATTGCATGCCACCTATCCTTAGCATCTCCGCAAACTGCAATACGACAATATTGTTGTGCTTAAGCATCGTTGCTGCAAATACTGGTTGAAACTGTACTATCGTTGTAGAATGCTCATAATTGATGGTGATTATTTTGGATAGTTTACAAATTATTTCTTTTATCACAAAAAGAACTCGGGAATTCTTTTTTTTTTTTTTTGGCAAAAGAAATGCAAGACTTGATCATGTGGCATGTTTCCTCATATGTACAATGCAGAAGACAACGTATTTGCGATAAAAAATTGCTATTTTAGGAAAATTAATTAGTTTGTCCTCACAATCTATCTCAATTTTCGATTTAATTTAAACTTTGTAAATTACTTTTGTACTATACCTCCGTTATAAAGCAATTTTTTGTTTTTGTTTTTGTTTTGGCAGCGCTTCCAACTGCCTCTGTGCAAGAAACTGTAAAAGCATACTTTTAAAGATGTCTTTAAAGGTGTACAACTGTAAAATAATAAATATAAATTATTAAACAATGACTAGACATATCTTTTAAAGTATATTTATAAGGTAACTTGTGAATATATTCCTCTTAAATGTTATAAAGCATTTTTTTCTACTCTTTTCAGGTTTAAAATTGGAAAGCATTTTAATGTTTTTTAGGAGTAATTAATAAGATTTTTTTAAAATGATCTCAATAAATATTTAAAATTAATGAAGTTTTCATATTTATTTATAATGAAGTTGTCTTATTAAATAAGGATAGGTATGAAAAAAGTAGGTAATTTTTATAATATTTTATAATTTTAAAAAAGAAGAGTATGAGTTAATATAAATTTTATAGTTCAAGTTATAAAAAGTTATCATATACCCCTCTAGTCTTAAATAATAAATATAGAAGTTAATTGAGATTTTTTTTTTTTGTCTTGAAGGTAAGACTCCAACTTTTTTTTCCTCGCATGCTTATGATTTGTTTGTCAAACTATCCATATAATTATATTGTTGCATGACGCATAAATTATGTTACTTCAATAAAAATGATTAAAAAGATGTGTATTATATAAAAATTAATACATATTTTTCTATAAGTAACTAATTTACTTAATTTCTTTTATCCATGTGAATTAATTAATTAACCATGTCTTCCATAATTCTATCTGCGGAACGGCTGCCAAACCAAATAGCACCCGAGCTAAGATAACAGAAACATACGCATAAAGTTTTTGAGATTTAGGAATGTGATTATTATGAAATTAATGAGTGGAAACCGGAGTGATATCAATAACTTATTGAAGAAAAATATTTAAATAGATCATAAATGACGTGGTACATTTTATCTATCTAAAAATTTCTCCTAAATAGATGGCAAGTATTATAAATTTAAATCTATAAAATTATCTACTATATTATGTAGGAAACACGCTCATTTATAAATTCAAAAATTGATTTGAATTCATATATGCTTTTATATTCTATCTCTATTTTTGAGAATTACTTCTTTTGTTAAAAAATGTAAGGCATTTTTAATTTTTTGAGGTGTAATCATTATTTTTTTTTTCAAAACTGCCCTTATTGATAATGAATTTATATTTATTATAGAGTATTTAATAAGAGTAAATATAAAAAGATAAGGTTAGTTTAAAAGTAAGTAACTACTAACAAAGGGAGTGACATCTGATTGATCTTACATATTAAATTCTTAAATTTTTTTTGATATTCTTAATTCTTAAATTTTATACATTCATCTGCATATTCAACTCCAACATTCGACATGGATGTTTAATATAAACTACCAAAAAATGATTCATCTTTCCAAATCTTTCTGGTGATCTACCTTAATGTTTAATAAATGAATGAGCATTTATTTACTCAACGTTGATATCTCAATCTCAAATAGCTCTTTTACTCGACCCAAGAGTTTTGAGGAGCTCTAATGGTTCCATCTAAGTGATTTTAATAGTTATAAAATACACACACAACTACATGAGAATCTTGTTAGAAGAATATCTAATTTTCATTTTTATTTCATTGTGAAAAAGACTCTAGATCAATAATTTATAGATTACTCGTGAGTAGCCAAAATTTAAATTAACTGTCATGTGTCTGATTTTAAGAAGATTAATGTAAAATAAACTTTTTTTAAATTATTAATTTACAAGTTTGCATAGCAAATCAACAACTGAACTTAGAATGAACTAAAATTTATAAATTGAAATTAAGATAAAAGTATGAGTGTAATGTAATTTATATTTTGATGATATAATTCAAAAGCCAGTCTAGATATAAAATGATAATGGACATGAATTTTATTATTATTATTATTATTATTATTATTATTATTATTATATATATAATAATTTAAATGAAAAATAGTAAACTTCAATTTACAATTATTAAAAAGGTAGAATAAAAAATATAAAATAAATTTAAAAATTTCAAAAATTTAAATTTCAAAAAGGCAGAATGAAATGATAAATTACAAAATATTAAATTATAAAAAGCTAAAATAAATTGATAAATTACAAAATATTAAATTCTAAACTTTTTTGCCAAGCTACATAATATTTAGAAACAGTTAAATTATTATAAAGTTTCAACACAAACTTTAGTTAAACAAGTAAAAGCCTTTTTTTTTATATAGAGGAGAAAGCAAAACAATAAACAAAACTAAACCAAAGCAACCAACAAAAAAAAAAAAGCCTATGGAGGCTAGAAGAAGCTCCAAGGAGTAAGGCACCATTAAAGCAATATGATGAGGACCAGGAGCTTCATTTAAAGATCTTTTGGCAAGAGAATTAGCTTCACCATTAAGCTCACGACAAATTTGGTGGACCTCCACAATCTAACTCTAGCTAAGTAACTCACATATCTCCATAATGATACTTCTACAGTCATGAAGTTTCATGTTTCCACCTTGTATAAGATCCACAGCAATAGCAGAATTACAATTGAGTATAATGGAATGCCTTCCACTCTCCCATGCACTTTTCAAACCAATTAAACAAGCCCATATTTCAGTAGACAAAGCATCCCCAGTCTGTAGCCCGAGCATAAAAGCTCTCAATATAGTTCCGTTCTGTTCCTTGAGGATTCCTCCACATTCTGCAGCTTTTGTATGCTCTGAGAAAGTTTTGTCTACTAAAAGATTCAAGCAGTCACTCGTCAGCACCAAAGGAGAAGACTCTCCCACTTGCTTCATAAGACTAGTCTTTCCCAAATCTTTTTGGTTTTAGTGCATACTCTTTAGAATGGCTTATGCATGCCCAGAAATTGAGGAGTTAGATTCCACAATATTCTGAAACACTTATTCATTTCGCCTCTTCCATAAAAGCCAATAGATAGTCACAAACCAATAATCCCATTCGACTTCAATGCATCCGATGTCATTAGCAAGGTTAAGTCAATACCAATCCCAAAGCTGAGTATTAAAGAATTGAGTTGCAAGTTCTGGTTTAACATACCTTCTCCATAAATTTTGAACCTTTGAGCAGTCATGCAAGACATGTAAAATATCTTCATCAACAGAATTGCACCATGTGCAAAGCGCATCATTGCTTAAACGCTTTCAAACCTTAAGCTAATTTGTTGATAATCTTTCATGAAGAACCATCCACATTAAGGATTTGCATCGTTGTGGGATATGGAGTTTTCATATCTTTGCCCAAAGAGGAGAAGTAGGAGACTCATCCTCCTTTAATATAGAATACGTTAATTTAATAGAGAAGTGACCATGCTTCTCATTCTTCCACCTTACTGTTTCTTGCCCATTTTGCATGGTACATCATTTGATTCTAGTTTAGAGAAGATCCCAAGTTTTCTTAATTCTACTCCAAAGTCATGAGTTAGGTCGTTTACACTCCACTTTTTTGAATTAGATCAGCCCCACGTTTATATTTACTCCTCACAACACAAGTTCAAAGGGCCTCTTTATTATGAATAAGCCACCAATTTATTTTCATTGAAAAAGCTTGGTTTTGAGTATACATATTGCGTATCCCAAGCCCCCCTCTCTTCTTCTCTCTACAAACCTTATCCTAAGAGACAACATGAATCTTCTTTGCTTTAGTCGTAAAGCCCTATAAGAAATCATGAGACTTCTTTTATATCTCTTCACATATAGACACAAGGAGCAAGGTAGTTTGTATAAGGTACATAGGAATAGAGGATAGAACGGAAGATACTAATGTGTTTCTACCTGTAAAGGAGATCTTTTTTACCTTCTACCCACTTAGTCGTGACTTCACCTTATCGACCATATAATTATAAGTATTTTTCGTCATATATGCTAGGGGTGTTCATCCTAAACCCATCCCGATTGGCTCGGTATCGTCCCGATCATATCAGGACGGGTCTTGTCCTGACTCGAAAATAATCGGGACGGGACTTTACGGGACGGGACAGGAAAGGGGTTCGGGACGGAACGGGACATGGGATTACCATCGGAACATCCTGTCCCGTCCTGAATATTATATATATTATTTTTTATTTTAAATATATTAATTATATTAATATAATTTATACTTATATTAATTATATCAATTATAATTTTAATACTTGCAATTCTTATTTAAAACTAAAATTTTTTATATTGATAATTTTAATGGCATGGAGTAAACATGGCGATATCTTTCTTTATAATATATTAATTATATTAATATAATTTATTCTTATATCTATCTATTTAATAACTTTTATGTATAACATATTTCTTGCTTATTTTTAGAAGAGTAATTAGCTTAGTACATCTTCACTAAAGTAGAAGAATAATGATTTGATGTTGTGTTTGACTTGTCTGTTATTGCTAATCTTATAGCATAAAGATCACTTGTATTTGTTATTATAATATGTAGTTATGATTAATATAATTCAATAATTGATTTTAAATTATTGTTATTTATGTGCTTGTGTTGTTTTGATTTTAAACTTAATAAATTATATGATTTAAAATTTTAATGAATATTATTATCCAGATCTTTTTTCGATGTTATTTCATTTATCAAGACGGCGGGACGTCCCGATCTTATCCCGATCCCGTCCCGACTCTTATCGGGACGGGGACGGGATGGGACACGGAACCAAAATTCAGTCCCGATCTTTTTTTCAGGATGGGACACCGGATGGGGGTGTCCCGGTCCCGTCCCATCCCGTGAACACCCCTAATATCAATAGTCTCAACTTGGTCAACCGCAACTTCAGCAAAAATAACAAGATCATTTGTAAAGAACAAATGAGAAAGTGGTGGCCTATCCTTGTTAAGTCTGATAGGTCTCCAATTTCCTTTCCCAATCTCATCTTGAATTAAGTGAGCTAGCTACTCAATACAAATAACAAAAAGATAAGGAGAAATAGGATCACCTTGACAAAGTTCACGTAAAGGAGAGAACTCTTTAATTTTCCTACCTTCCTAGAGTATTTGTAGACTAGACGTACTTAAACAGTACTTAATAACATCGTAAATCTTTGGGAATTCCAATTTCATCAAGGTAAGAAAGAACGAAATCCTACCTAAGTCGATCATAAATCTTTTCAAGGTCAATCTTGATTTTCATAACTCCTTTCTTTCCCTTCATTTTTCGCATGGAATGAATGACCTCTTAAGCCATAATAATATTATCTAAGCTAAGCCTCCCTAGAATGAAACTACTTTTTTGGAGAAATAATTTTAGGAAGAAACCACTTAATTCTATTAGCAATGATTTTAGTAATAGTTTTGTAAATAATATTACAAAGGCTAATAGGTCAAAAATAATGGATTGTCTTAAGTTGCTCCTTCTTCGAGATAAGAATAATGTGTCCCATTGATATCTCCAATGATTTATGGAACAGAGAAAACCTATTTTACCAAATTGCAGACAGAGCTCCTAACTTGCTCCCATTGACTTTGAAAAAAGAGAGTATTAAAACCATCAGGTCTAGGAGATTTAAGTCCACCCATATTAAAAATATCTTTTTTTGATTTCCTCATCTTGAAAATTACTTGCTAAATCATCTAACATAGATCTATTGATTTCAAGGAACCTCGTAGACGTACTCAGATTCTGTCTCTCTTCATTCTCTGCTTCAAACAAATTTTTAAAAAATGAAAGAGCAACCTTCTGAATATCTTCTACCTCATAAATCCAATCATCATCATCATTTCATAAGCATGAAATTCTATTTCTCTTTCTTCAAGCATTCACCCTTGCATGAAAGTACTTGGAGTTTTTATCACCAAATTGGAACCACTCACACTTAGCTTTTTGAAATTAGAGAAGGCTTTCTTGATTTAAAACTTCTTCAAGTTCTAGCCAAAGCTTAGCTTGCAACTCCTTAATAGCTTGTGAATTACAACTAAGTTGAACCATTTTAGTCAATCCCTCAATTCTATAAGAATGTGACATTTTTTTCAACCCAAATGACCAAAAACCCTCTTTTTTCAAATATTAATCTCTTTAGCAAACAAAGCCATATTTACATTCCAAACTTCTAATTCTTTCCATTTTTTTCTTCACAAAGTGACCAAAGTCACTAACAAGCACCCAAGATGCCTTAAAGTAAAATGGCCTTTCATGATACACTGCATCCCTCTCATCCTCATAGAATTTTAAAAGAATAAGATGATGGTCAGATTTTAAAAAAAGAAAAGTTTATAACCTTAACATCCTGGAACTTTTTTTTGCACACGGATCATTGAACAAACATAAAAAACTATTTTACCACAAAGTTTATCCAAACATAAAAAAGTATGTTGAACTAGCTTTTGCTCCTCTTAAGTTTGGGCCTCCAAACGTGAGTTTCAACATAATCCATACCTAGCCTCAACTGGCATTCTCCCATTCATCCTTCTGTGTTATTTTTTGTTTTGCCCTGTTATCGTATTCTTTTCTTTGATTCGTATTATTTCAATTAGAAGCTGACGGAACCAAAATTCTGAATGAGCTGTGATTATTAATTTATTGTGCAAAAAATTAGAAGCTGACGGAGGGAGGTTACTTTATTCATCAGAGAGAGACTTTCAGAAGGATTAAATGAAAAATTTGGCACGTTGTGAATGAAAGATTGAAAGCCGTAATCCTCAAAATAAGAAAAAACACTGCTTTGTTTGAATTGTAATTTGGTACCGGACTAAAGATCCCTCAGAAAAATGTTCGCTTTGGTTAATGAGTTTGTCACTTTGCGGCAACTTTGCTCACACTACCCACGCGAGAATATTCTAAAAAAGGCCAAACCACCACCCCACAGAAACAGATGATGCGTTTGGTGCTATCTCCACAATTTCCACCGGCTTTCTTTCTTTCTCAAACTTCTCTATCCCTACTCTTACTGAATTGTCAGGGATGTCGTTCCTGTAGCTTCCCATTTTTGCTTGAACTCCTTTTCTCTCTCGAGTAATCTTCAATTTCCTTTTAGATTCATGAATTCAGTTCTCTGGTCATGCTGCGGTGCAAGTGTTTGAGCTTTTTCTTGTTGGAAATTTTCGTATGAAAAATCCCAAATTTTATCAGATTATAGATGCCCTTGAAAATAATAAGTTTGTCTTCTTGTTGTAGCTTGATTATTTGGGTTTGTAATATTTGAACTTACCTTTCAGGCCTCTGAAAGCTGAATTCTAAGCTCCAATTCCCAGTCGGAATTCGGCTGCGGTATAATGGCTGTATGTGGGTGTATATCTACGGTTAACATGAATTGGCAGAGTGATATAAAGGGAACGAGAGGTATAGGACCTCCCCCAGGATTTGGTTATAGGAACACATCAAGCCAAAAAATTTCGTTAGCTTTTGGAGGAAGCGAGTCCATGGGTCTTAGATTGAGACTTCCTTGCTCACGCCTTGTTAAAAGCAGTTTGAGGAATTATGGCTTGCAGGTTAGTATGCTTCGGTGGGTATTATTTAATCCGTTCCTCGTTGGGTGATCTATTCGGTAAATATTAACGTCTGACTTGCAACACAGGTAGTTTGCGTAGACTGTCCAAGGCCAGAGCTTGAAAATACAGTTAATTTCTTAGAAGCAGCTTACTTGTCTTCAACATTTCGCACTTCGTCACGTCCAACCAAACCATTAGAGGTTATTATTGCGGGTGCAGGTAAAGGGAGTCTATGCCAACTGATAGTAATGTTTGTGCCCATTTGTTTTTTTTTTTTAAAAAAAGAACTTGTAATTTTGTGGCTAATTGGTTGTCTTCTTTGCTGAGCTATATGATTTATCTGATTTTATTTGAAGAACTTCCTCATAAGCTGGATTCCATAATCTAATATTATGATTTCTTTCTCTTCTTCCTTTTTCATTCTTAGGGTGTGATGACATCATGAAGGAAGGCTCTTCCTTCCTTCTAGTAATTATATTAAGCTGGTTTGCGTTTTTCTGTGGTGACATGGAGAAAGAGAGACATTCACTTACGCAGATGTCATTTTGAGTGTAGAAAAGTTTGCTATTTACTTCTTCTTTGTGTCTTCCAATAGTCCAAACTTATATTAGTCAGCTTGTTCCTTGGTTTAGGAGAATTTCATATGTCAATTCTCTAACACCTCCAAATCATTCTGTTGTATTTGTCACAGGGTTAGCTGGTTTGTCGACTGCTAAATATTTGGCAGATGCTGGTCATAAACCTATACTACTGGAGGCAAGAGATGTTCTAGGTGGAAAGGTTTTCCTGCTAACTTGTCTTTGTGCTAGAAAACTTACATTTATTTTTGCTTGCTGATTAATACTGTATGCGTATGATTGTATACGATATGACTAAAAGGTAGTTAGGAGGGTAAAAAGGGGAATTAATGGGATAGTTGTGAGTCAATAGTAGAAAAAGCACTGGGCAGTTAGCTGGAGATATGGTGTCTGTTAGAGTCATTGGGTTTATTAGGAGCTGTTTAGGAGCTAAGTTGAATTCCCACAAATGATCAACTGCCTCTCAAGTAGTGTAGTATAAGAGAGGAAAAGGGTGATGCACAGGTGTGAAGGAAATAGAAGTCTTGGCCATTATGATTCACACCTGTGCATCTATTTCCTTCACATGAGACATCTACTTGACATCTTTTTTCTCTACCATTATTCAATGGATATGTCTTTTTTTTTTTTTTTTGGGTCAGGATATGTCAGGTTCACATGTGCAACAATTCCTCTGTTTTTGTTCTTCTCTGAGAGTCTGAATTGAGAGGTCTGAACTGTATTGGAAGGCTCGTTACAGATTAATTACATACATGAAGCTTAGTTATTGTATTTCAATTTTGTCTCGTTTCCTAAGGTTGCTGCCTGGAAAGATGAAGATGGTGACTGGTATGAGACTGGCCTACACATATTCTGTAAGTTCATTAAACGTGTGGCCTTCAGTTTTTCTGTCTTATAATCATGTAAAAGTTTATTGATAATATATGTAATTAGAAACTATTAATATATCTATTTTATGTGTTTCCTTAAAATGCTTCTGTAAGGCCTCCTGTAATGTTTTGCTTCAAGAGCATCTTTCCCTTGGAGATTTTTTAAGCATTAAGTATCTATTTGTTTTTTCTTTTTTTTTTTCAATGTTGCATGTTAGACATAATCTCTGTTTCTATGTTCTTTTTGTTATATGGTTACTCTTTTCATGGTGGTTCTTACAAGAACTGATCATTATTGAAAATGCTTACCTATAAAGCCATCTTACTTGGGGAAAATTATTCCTTTATGTTTTTCATTGCTAAAAGTTAGTTGGATGAGTCAAAGATTGTTGCTCTTCAAGCCAATGGTTCTAATTCTGATTGCAATGCAAGTCAGTGGTTGACCTGTTGAGTTATTTTCTGGCCCACATTAATTTTAAGACTGATTGACTGAAATGGTAGAGAAGCAAGACCTAACATTTTAAATGCTCTAGTTGCTTTCATATGTGATTCGATTGATCATGAAGTGATGCACTGGGGTTAGGTATGAAGAACTTGCCTAGTTTCATGAAAAGAAACTTCTGCTCAAATTCAGCAAAAAAAGATATATGTATATGAATTATCATTTGATCACCTATAAAAGGAATGCTTATTTATAAGGGAGAAATGTGACGAGCACAAGTCCAAAGGGAGAGTCCATTCCAAAAGACTAGTCTGTTGGGTAGGAGAACCTCCCACACTGACAAACCCTACAATACTTGTGAGGCTTCCTGATGTGGGACTCATGACAATGTCACCTTGTCAAGAGCCGACGTCCCCGGTGGCTTCACTCCACAGCACTTCACTTAGCCTTCTGCCGATCAGAACCCTCCGTGGGTAACCTTTTCCGTGACACCGGCCTTTCAATGAAAGCCTCTCAATGAAAGCATCAGTGTGACCAGCACAAATCCAAAGGGAAAGCCCATCCCAAAAGACTAGCCTATTGGGTGGGAAAGCCCCTCACGCTTATAAACCCCACAATACTTGTGAAACTCCCCGATGTGGGACTCGTGACAAGAAACCTGCCCCTAATAAGTCTTGTATATTAACAATGAAAAAGCCTCCTAACTAAATAAAATTGAATTGTATAATGATGACGATGATAAAAGTTACAAAAATACTATTAATCTGAGGAAACAATTAATATTTTGTTTAAATCAAAATTGAAAGTTTTTCTCAAGAAGTTGACCTTATGAAGGGGGATCATAATGCTTATGTGCAACAAATTACACGTCAAGGATCATGATCAGTTAGTCTGTGTTTAATTAATTTTACTTGTTGAAGGTTTACCATACATCTTAAACTTTACCTGGCCTTTTGGAGTGTCATTGTATTTTATTACTAATTTGGAAGCAAATTGCATACATGCTATAAGCTATTATTATGTCTCTCTCTTGTTGTTTTCTTTCTAGGTTGATTTGATTAGAAGCAATCTATTCTAAAATTTAGTAAATTATATTATTGCGATTATCTGAATCCTGTTCCGTTTTAGTTATCCTTACACTATGAACATTTTTTATGCTGCAAAGTTGGGGCATACCCCAATGTTCAGAATCTATTTGGAGAACTGGGTATTAATGATCGTTTACAGTGGAAGAAGCATTCTATGATTTTTGCTATGCCAAACATGCCTGGACAGTTCAGCCGATTTGATTTTCCTGAAGTCCTGCCTGCTCCTTTAAATGGTAAAATGTTTGCATTTACCATTGTAAAACTTGATATATGTTATATCTTTTATATGCTTTCTTGAAGTTGGATGTCTTTAAAAGCAGTGAAGAATCAATTGTAGGTTTGATTTGGAATGTTGTCTGTGTCCCTAGTGCTAGAAAATCTACAATAGTAGAACTTTTCCTTTGTCTGCTGCAGATTGTATGCTTGTGCTTGCCCTCTTCCTGTCTATGATATGGTAATGACTTCAAAGCTGGAATTCAGATGAAGTAACTTTTAGTTTCGTTTGAAGTTTTAGCAAGTCCATGCTTGTTGACTTTTAAACATATCTTAATTTTTCAGAAGGGTTATCTGGTTTATCCAGTCTATCTGCGGACCTTGCTGCTAATAAGGCAAACCTTGCTCCTAATAGATGGATTTTTTCAAATTAAAAAGAAAGCCCTTCATAGAAACTTGTTTGAAGTTGTCTAATCTTTTAGCTGTCCAACAACTTAAAGCTGAAATGAGTACAAATATTTTGCTTTTGTTCTTTTTTAATTGATTTTAGTTTTATGTGTTATTCACATATTATATGTGTGTGTGCGCTTTTCACATTCTAATTTTCAGGATGAGAAGATATTTTATCTTTTAAGCAGAACTGACAGATAGTTTAGGTTCCCATTCTTTATTTCAACAATTCTTGCATACTTCTGCTACCTTTTGCTCTGGATTTTTCTTTCCCTGATTGTTATATAGTGTTCACTAGTGTGCATTTTGTGATTTTGATTAATAGGAATATGGGCAATATTGAGGAACAATGAGATGCTGACCTGGCCCGAGAAAGTCAAGTTTGCTTTTGGATTGCTGCCAGCTATTCTTGGTGGGCAAGATTATGTTGAGGCTCAAGATGTTTTGTCTGTTCAAGAGTGGATGAGAAAACAGGTGCAGTGATTTTTTTGATCGTTGGTTGCTGGCAAACTTTCAACGGATCTAAGTCGCTTGGCTACTTCACAATCCTAGATCATGAGAAAGCAGATGTAACATGTTTTCTCTTCATTGCAGGGTGTACCTGATCGAGTAACTGATGAGGTGTTCATAGCAATGTCAAAAGCCCTAAACTTCATCAACCCTGACGAACTTTCAATGCAGTGTATCTTGATAGCTTTAAACCGATTTCTTCAGGTGCAATCATTTCCTTTTCTCAAATAGTATTGTCTCAAAAGATCTGTTGATACCCTGTGTTAGGTGCTGAAAATAACAAAAGGGAATAAGAAGAACAAATCTATTAAGATGATTTAAAGTAAGAATCTCGTTTTGTATTTCTCTCAATAGCCACACTTAGGAGAATTTTCAAAGAGTTTAAAAGATTGTTTTATTGATGATGATATGTTAGCTTTTAAGTTGCTGGTTATATTTATGAAGCCAAACAAAATAATGAATGAAATCTAGAAATTGGATAATTAAATAAAAAACTAAATAAAATCTCCTAGAATCTAAATCTAAATGAAATCTAAATAAAATACTCAATGAGATCTAAATAAAATCTAAAACTAAATATTTGAATAAAATATGAAGAAATATAAAATCTCCTGAAATATTTAAATCAAATAGAATCCATTCTAATTTATCTTTTAATGCTTCCTTCTTGAATAAGTCTTTATTTCAATTCTATCTAGAATCTTATCATTACTCCCCTTAAAAACTCAACTTGTCCTCAAGTTGAAAAGGGGGAAATTGAGCGTGCAAGAGGTCATAGTGCTCCCAGCTAGACTCTTCCATAAGTTGCCCATTCCATTGCACCAATAACTCTAGCAAGTGATGGCAAGTCCATTGATGATCTAAGACAGGGTGAGGCATCACATGTAACTCAAAATCAACCGATAACGGTAAGGAAGTTGGGGTAAGCGGTGGATCCATCTCATGAGTTTGTCACAAGAGAGATACATGGAAAATTGGGTGAATATGAGGAGTTGCCGGAAGTTCCAATTCACAAGCCACCTTTCCAATCTTTCGAAGAATCTTGTAGGGCCCAGAGAAATGAGGTGATAATTTTTCAAATTTTCGCTTAGTAAGTGATTGTTGGCAAAAAGGCTAAACCTATAGCCAAACGACATCGGCTACAACATATTTGACTTCCCTCCTATGCTTGTCAGCATAAGCCTTCATCCGATCCTGAGCCTTGTGCAAATCATTCTTCAACAGTCTGAGCATTGCATCCCTGGTTTCTAATTGATCTTTCAAATCAGCTACAAGTGTTTCTCCTTTCACATAAAGAAGTAGGGGAGGGGGGTCTCTCCCATATACTAGCTTGAAAGGAGAAGAGTTGGTTGATATATAATGACCTGTGTTGTACGAGTATTCAACCTAACAAAGAAACTTGTGCCAAGACCGGGGTTGCTCATGTGCAAAACATTGTAGATAGGCTTCAAGACGGTGATTGACCACCTCTATTTGACCATTAGTTTGGGAATGGTAAGTAGTACTCATTTTTAACGTAGTCTAGCTTAATCAGAATAACTCTTGTCAGAAGGAGCTCATGAAGATAAGGTCCCTATTAGAGATAATTTAGCGAGATACCACATGTAGTTAGATAATTTCCTCACAAAAGATAATGGCAACCTTCTTTGTAGTGTAAGGATGTGCAAGAGCAATAAAATGGGCATATTTACTCAAACAGTCTACCACTATCAAAATGACCTCAAAACCACTAGATTTCGGAAGACTGGTGATACAATCAAGTAAGATGTCCTCCTAAATATGAGAGGGTAAAGGTAAGGGTTGAAGAAGGCCCACTGGTGCCAAAGTTTTATACTTATTTTGTTGACAAGTGGCACAATGTCTCATGTATGCCTTTACATCTTCTTTCATCACAGGCCAGTAAAAATTCTTTGAGAGACACTTAAATGTTTTAAGAAAATCTCCGTGCCCCCTAATAGCCGTGGAGTGGGCTTCAGCTAGTAACTTCAGTCGCAATTGTGATGTATAAGGAATGACAACTTTGTGGTAATAGAAAAGTTTTTGGTTAGCCAGGTGGAATTTAGGTCGAGATGACAGATCTTTTTGCAGATCTTGCATTATTGCATTAGTGAAAGGATCTAATGCTAGCTCAAAAGAAAGGTCATACAACTCGGAAGTGAAAGGGATTGCCAATTGAAAAAAAATCTGCATGCTGTGGTCATCTGGACAATGCATCTGCGCCCTTATTTTTCACTCCTGCCTTGTAGATGATAGTAAAATTAAATGGTAAGAGCTTGATGATCAACCTCTATTGAGTATTGGTTGTGATGCGTTGTCGTAGTAAATATTGAAGGCTAGCGTGATTTGTTCTCATGAAGAAATGCCTCCCTAGTAGGTAATGGCGCCATTTTTGTGTTGCAAGAACTAATGCTAAGAGTTCGCTGAGGTAAGCAATGAAATGGTTGTTTTGCATAAGGATAGCTCTAGTTCCTTCTGTTGATGCATTGCATTCAATTGTAAATTCCTTCTTTAAGATTCATTCTCTACAATATGAATACATACCAATCCATGTTAATAGAATCAATAGGTGCCATAATATTTTTGTTAATATATTCTAGCTATCAATATTCAAGCAAGTCATTGTATAACAAGACAATTTTAAATTATAATCAAAATCACTTTACATGTCCATGAACACTTCCATATTTTTATATCATAACTACCAGTGGTCTCCACAAAAAAATTGACAAGTGAGAGAAACAATTTGACAAGTTTTATATCATAATTATATGTTTATATACAAGTAGGAACAAATTTACATTAGTAAAAACAATCATTAAGGCAATAACAACTTCACAATGTTGTATTTACAAGTAGATTTACATTATTAACAACTAATTTCAAATTGTTCACAAACTGTGACAAGCACTAGTATGAGACAAATCTTCATGGATCTACTAATATGAAAATGAAGTTGACTCATGCCTTATCTGATAGAAAATTAAAATGAAACTATGACATGCCAATTTGAAGACTCATTCCTCATTTGATATAATGGGGTGGTCGATCTTCATAAGCCATAATTTTGCTTGCTTTATGCACTATTACAGCACATTCATGTGAGAATGAGAATTATAATATTAACAACATAACATAAAGCTTTTAACAATAAGAATTATAATATTAACAACATAAATTTACCATACAAACATGTATATCATTAATATTTTAACTCTAATTACTTTATCAATACTAGACGAAGTCATAAATTTATAATAAGAATTATAATGTTAACAATATAATATAAAGCTTTTAGCAACTCACCATACAATGACAAAACTTTCAATAGCCAATAGCTTTATATTTGCAAATTTTAACATTAACACTTTATATCAACTAAAAGCACCAACTCTTTCATGCCAATCGATTGATCCATTCTATGCTCATTTGCCATACTAAAACCATACTCATGCCCATACTCATACCCATACCCATACCAATACCATATATGTATTTAACAGATAATGCCTCTAATCACTATAAATGATAGTATTTTACCTCCACATGATTCATCACTGCCAAGCCGTCCTCCAAAAACATCCTTAGTCGACACCCGTCTTGTTTGTTTCGAATCAAATTACATGGAGAAGGAAGAATCATATTACATTGAATGCATAATCAAGAAGAAGGGGAATGAATCTCATGGGCTCGTGGGTGATAAATCTTACCAACCACTCCTCCTTGAGGTGAACATTGAGAAATAGAGAACTGCATGTTGAACTTTTCCTTTTCATGCACATTTCTTTCTTTCATTATTATCTGCTAATTCTTTCTTTGTTTACAGAAAGGTATGTTTATCTTTTTTGCATTCAAGTTATTTTTAGTTCAATCCTAGAGGACTAAAATGAAGTTTCAGGTTCTTTAGGGACCCACCAGAAATTATGTGTCTTTTTAGGCCCTTAACTGAAATTCTCCCTAGATTTAATCATACTTTAGTACTATTTAAGCTTAAGGAGAGCTTTAACAGTGTTGGTAATTAAGGAGTAAAGCTTTAACCTCCCAAAAGTTTGAGATAACCGAAGGAAATTTGGTTTATGCATTTGTTTGTTGATTAATTATATGTTGAACTAAATGATTTGAAAACCAAATGATGTTTATAAACTAACATTTGATGCAAAATATGACAATGTGATTAAGTGTGTGTGATGTGTTAAAATCAATGAAAATGATGTGTACATATGTGTATGCTTACGAGATTGTTGTTATTGAGTAAAAGCATGTACATATAGAAATGAGCAACATGAGAGTTAATTGCAAATTGAAATATGTATTGAGTATGATGGAAATAAATTGTGATGAGCATGATATAATGTGATTAATGTCAATAGAACTGCATACTAAGTGTTGATGTGTGCGTGACATGATCATGTATAGTGAAATTTCACCTAGGGAGAGGAATAAAGATAAAATCTACAAGTGAATACTGATTGACATTTATAGAGCTAAATCTCTATATTGAAGTATTAGCTGAAGACAAAATAGATAGCCTTAATAGTGGAGGTGCTGAATGATACTGATTTTGAGGTCATTCTCCCTTGAAGAAATTACTCTTCCCTTAGGATGTTACATCCATGTCTATTTAAGTAGTGGATTCCTCTTCTTTTTCTCTCATCTCTCTCATTTCTAGCCCTAACGCACAACTCACTGCATCAGCATATGATGTAAACTAACTCATTTGTGGAAACATAGGCTAATATATATGTAAAGGTAACCCCCTCACAAATCTTTTAATCTATTATTTCTCTATTGGAACTAAGTAAGGTGCATAACGTAAGAGCTTTATGTAAAGAACCTTATACTGTGCACATACATATTACTGCATTTCAATGTCTCAAATATAGTAGCTTGTTGTTCTCAAACACTTTGTGGAAGAAATTGGTTGAGAAATTTTTTTCTAGATTCCTCCCATGACATAAGAGGATATCTTGCTTGCTTTCCTGGATGAATTGATCGGATCCACATCTCAATAATATTCTTCAACTGAAAAATAGGAAACTCAACATACTGCTCATCAAGACATCCAAATGGTTGGCAAAGCTTCTCAATATCATCAAGAAATTGTTTTGCATCCTCTTCAACATTAGATCCAGAGAAAGTAAAAGGTTTCAATTTAATAAAATCTATCAAGCTTACTCTAGCAACATTTCTTTAACAATCACTTGAGG